CTATACTGGAACCTGGGGTTGTTCCTGCCCAGATGCAGGACTCTACACTTTCCCTTGTTATATTTCATCAAGTTATTCCCCGCCCAACTCTCCAGCCTGTCCAGGTCTCTCTGGATGGCAGCACAGCCTTCTGGCGTGTCAGCCACTCCTCCCAGCTTAGTGTCATCAGCAAATTTGCTGATCGTACACTCAATTCCCTCATCTAAATCATTGATGAATATATTAAATATATTAAATAGTATTGTTTATGGTTGCAGCTTACAGGCTGTCCCAGGAAAAGCATTGTTCCTTGCATGCTCTTCCCATGAGCCTGGTCCATGGCAGCAATTGGAAGTCAATAGTTGGGCTGGAAGAGTCTGTAGCCAGCCCAGTGAAGCAGGCCTTGCTCTGAGCTTTTCATTTTGCTTTTCTAAAACTATTTTTTCATTTGGCATTCCCCAGTCTTAAACAAACATAACTTTCTTATGACCATAGTTTTGTACTGTTGTAAGAGATCTGTTCCTTCTTTCTAAAAAAATGAATAAAATTTCCAAACAGCAAATTAATTGTTCATATCTTCCCACAGCAATGATGCCTTCTCTTTGAATTTTGCGATGTATTGCTAATTAAAAGAATAGCAAATGATGTAAAAGTTGTGTCCATATCAGAAATGATAGCTCGAACATGAGTGTTTTGTTCTAAGGTGTAACAACACAAAAAAAAAAAAAAAACAGATAAAAGAAGAAAAGTAGTATTAGAATCTTCTCTGTGCTTGAATCTATGCAAACTGCAGGGTACACGTTAGAAATATCAAGGTACAGAAGCTCCATCATCCACAGGAGCATATGCTCATGAGCATATTAAAAGGTTTTTGTTGTCTCTGCCTGCCTTTTAAAAAACAACACTTTTGGTTGCCTACTCTCACGAAGTTTTACTTTTGAAGGCCTCCATTCTGAAGCTGTTGCAGCTGAAGCTCAGTGGAACAGAGGAAAATGGGTAGGTATTGGCAAGACCTAATGAAGCTTTGCCAGTCAGCTGGGTTGCACACCTGCCTGAGTATTTGCCTACCGTTACAGCTAGGTCTCAAACCTTTTAACGTTCTGACATTAAAGTGAATGCATGTAAACAGAAAAACGAGGGGAGCTGTATGTACACAGGGGAGCGAGCTACAGCTGAAAGGATTTTGTAGGCCAAAGGTCTTTCCTGTTTCTTAGGAAAGCGAGTGTTAGACGTTCAGAGTGAAAGATAAAATACAACTTCAGCTTTTTTATTCTTTTTTTTTCTGAAGGCTTGGGTGATGATGAATACTCTGCACTAGGACAAATAGCAATCTAGGAAGCCAACTCTAGAGGTCAAATGAAAAAGCTACATGTAAGAGTCATAAAAGGATTATAAGCAAAGCTTATGTTCTGTAAAAAGAGGCTGTGTACTGTTACTAACAATGTGAGAATCTTTATGGATAAAGCCACAGCACGGGGTTTTGTTAATAGCTTTTGTGGTAACGTATGTAGTTATTTGTGATTCAAGCAGCATGTTTTCATGGTTTCACAAGAACCTTGAGTCTGCTAAATATTCCCCAGTGCTTTCTCTCATTAGCTCTTTCCATATTTATGGACACAGAGCAATTGCAGCAATTTTGCTGCATCTGATTCTTTAAAAAAGCTGTCTGCTTAGCACCACGAATATATTTCCTATAAGAAACCAAACTGGCCTCAAATCCATAGAATAATGGAGTATGTTGTCTTGCAAGGCAGCATCATTATCATCATAGGAAGATAAAAAGATATGGATGTTAGCAACAATAAAGTGCATTTATTGACTGCAGTGCTCTGTGTACTTATTGCAGTTATACATAGAAAGCTAAATGTAGATGCCACCAGCTTTTTCTTGTTTGTTCTTTCTTGAAATTTAGTAGATAATCCAGTCTGCCCTCAGTTACCGATCGGTCTCAAGAACCAGGAATAAACCGCTTTCTTCCCCCACTCACTTTTTTTTTTCCTCCTCTCAATTAATGATTTTATTTTTGTAGTGAGATCTAGGGGCTCGAATGCCCTGTGTTGGCAAAACACCAAAGAACTGACATGATTTTGATGTATTCTCACATGTGTAGTTAATTGTATGCAGAACAATGCAAAAAAACAAAACAAACCAAAACACCAATGCAAAAGAAAAAAAACCCTCCAAAGTCCTGAGAATGTACAGAAGGAATTAGAGTTTCAGGAAAGAAAAAGTCCATGAAACTTATCTGTCTTTCAGACAAGCTGATCTCCTAAGTGGAATCAACAAAAAGAGGTGGTTAGATACCAGCGTCTCAGGAGTGTGGAGAAAACTGAATGGTTCAGTAGAAGAAGCAAAACCATGTGCAGGGGCAACTTGGGGCAAATGGAATAAGGAAAGGACTTAGAGCTCAGTGGTGAGCTCAGGAAGAAAAACAAGGGTTAGGGATTGGAGGTAATCCTCTAAAGCAGTGTCTGCCCTTCCTTAGAGAAATTGCCTTGTCAATAAAATGGAAGAAGTTCTCTGCAATTTTGTGGTTTTTGTTTGTTTTGAGTTTTCTGAAATTTACACATACAGGCTTATATTTCAAAACAGAGTTTTTAATGACTAAATACATGTAAAATTACATGGTCATCTTTTTTGAATCAGTGGTCGATTGGTATTGCTCGAAATTTTTTATTTGTTTTCTTACATGTATATGTGCATATATCACTGATTTTTTTGCTGTTTCCCATCTCTTCCTGAGAACTTGTTAGAAGAGCTTTGTTTGGGATTTGACCACAGTGACTCTGACTTTGTAAATAGCTTTTTGAAAAGTCATGAAAGGATAAAATTCAGCATAGTCTTACAGTGATATATTGGAGTGCAATTTATATAGGAGTTCGCAATTTATCCCAGTATCACTGATGTTCAGAATTTAAGCATATGTAGTAATGTATTTGCTACTGGAGTTGATGCCAGAACAGATTAAAGTTTTGCATATTTTTGGAAAATAGAAACAGATCTGTGACCTTCAAAGATACTTAGAGTCCCTGTATAGATGATTCAGTGAAATCTGAGCACTGGCTTTTTTAACAAGATGGTTGAGTTGTTAATGTTTTTTTTTACATTTTCAACAGTCTCATAAAGTTGATTAAACAAATAATTGTACACCGGGTGATTCTTCAAGTGAGACTAAAACGTATTTCTATTTGTGCAAAAATCAAAACAGTATAGCTGTGCTAAAATGAAACAGCTTAGCCCCTCATTTTACGTTTTTTGCAAGGGGACACACATTTTTAACTCCTTATGAGTAGATAAATGTACTGATCTGAGTCTCAGTTTAAATATTAGCAAATAAAAATACCTAAGAAGTGCATGACTGCATCTGAGTGTGAGTGAGTGCCCATGCTGTCCTGGCTTCAGCTGGGGTAATAGCTGTTGTGTTTTGAAATTGTAGGAAAATAATGCTGATAACACACAGATGTTTTAGTTGTTGCTAAATAGTGTTTATACTAAATCAAGGACTTTTCAGCCTCTTTTTCTCCTCTTCCAGGGAGAAGACTGGAGGGGTACAAGAAATACTGTTAATAATTCAGACGTTTAAATTACTGATTGGCACTGCTTACACAGAGTCAGGGCCTTTTCTGCCTCTCACCCCATCCCACCAGTGAGTAGGCTGGGGGTGCACAAAAGGTTGGGAGGTGACACACCCAAGACAGCTGATCCCAACTGACCAAAGGGCTATTCTAGATACCAAATGACATCATGCTCAGCATATAAATTCAGGGGAGTTGACTGGGAGGGGCTGGTTGTTGCTGAGGATCTGGCTAGGCATTGATTAGCAGGTATTGAACAGTTGCATTGTGCATCAGTTATTTTGTATATTTTAATTTTATTGTTATCATTGTTATTATTTTCTTCCTTTTCTCTCCCATAGAACTATCTTTAACTTAATCTGTGAGTTTTCTCACTTCTTGCTCCACTAATTCTCTTCCCCATCCCTCTGCAGACAGGGTCAGTGAGTGACTGTCTGCGTGGTGCTTAGTCACTGGCCGAGATTATACCACAACATGTGTATGTTGAATGCTCTTCTGTAAAACCACACGTTATGGAAGAGGAAGAAGAGGATGGAAAGGGAAAGAAGAGGAAGGAAGAAACAAAGGAAGAGCAGGAAAGGGGAAATACAAAGGAGGGAGGAAGACATGTAGAGAGAGAAAGAGAAACAAAATGAAGAAAAGAAAGGGAAAGAAAAAAGAAAGAAAAAAGAAAAAAATACATAGAAAAAAGAAAAAGGAAGGAAAAAAGGAATGAAGGAGAAGAAACGATAAAGAACAGGGAAAAGGAAAGGAGAGTAGAGAGGAAAGATGGGGGGGAAACACCTTTTAATTGTACCCCTCTATCATCTTATGTGCTTGCAGCCATGTATTCACATACCTTTTTCATTAAGAGCTGCATCTTCCTTTGCCAGGTATAGCACAGGGTGCTGGAGGTTAAGAGGCATCTAGATAAACAGACAAGCTAGATGTAGTCAGAAGGCAAATTTTTAGGTTTCATCCTAACATGGGGTTTGTTGTTTTAGGCAGAAATAGTTGACATATTTGATTGAGATGTCAATTTCATCACTAGGTTTTGGAATGTCTTCCTCCCTTTACATACTGTGGTTTCTGCTAAGACTTCAAACTTGCTCATTCTTCATCAAAAGCTGTGAATGCCTAATTTTTAAAAGACCATTCTTGTCTTATGGGGAGCCAAAGTTTCTAGATACTTAGCAGGTGCTATTGTGTTCATTGCCTTTTCTTTCAGGCATTGATCTTAGTTGCCTGTTTAATATAATTTGACCTAAAGCTATATGTCTAGTTTTATAAACTCTCAGTGTTATGTCTTTGACAGAAGAAAACTAATATAAATTTTCAGATTCATGTCTGCCTCCTTGACAGATGTAAAAGAGCATCCTATATCTATGCTACCATGAGCAGAATAAGAAAGCAGTGGGTGAAGAAGAAAAATGTGTTTGTATCCTTATATCACAATTCTATTTACAGATTTTAATTATACTCACTACTATGGTGATTCTTACCTGGAATTTAAAGGCTTGCATTTGAACACACAAAACTTCATCCGCTTGGAATTTAAAACATACAGTCCACATGGACTCCTCCTGTATATTGAACAGAGCCCAGAAACAATAGGACATTTTTTAATCCAGCTTTTCATCAAACATGGCAACTTACAGGTAAGGCATCTCCTGAAGGAGAATTAAAGCTAGGATCTGTAAAACTGTTTTGGGGTTTTTTTTATGCTTCCTATTGTAGAAGATGATAGTGTTACAGAGAGTCTTGACGTTCTTTATTATTTTAAGGAAAATAGCTGTCAAACTTGCTGTCTGTTACAAGTAATTCATGGCTAATATTATTAATATGTCTCACAAGATGTGGTGCTTGAGGAAAATTGAATAGTGATTATAATTGGAATGTGTCATATAAAAAGTACACATTAAAAGACAAAAATAAAGAAGGTGGACTTTGTCTTCACAACCAGTATGAATTAAGGTATCCTATTTAGTATTTGAAGCTTAAGCTGACTGAACCTCCTCATGTGAAAGTTCATTAAAATTATTATAAGGGAGGCTGTGGAACTGAGTTAATTGTCATAAGAAAATTTACTGTAAAGAGGGAATAGAGTGTATCTTTGTTACCATGTGGCTCTGACTAGAAGCCTTTTATTTCATCTGTTATGTTAGTACACAGTTTCACAGGATCACAAAAAGTCCCCAAACATTTGCTTGGCTTTAATAGACAAACTGAATAAGAATAAACTTGTTTATAAGCTTTAAGGAATAAAGCATGTGTCCCAGTGTACCTTTATCTTTAGTAACTTATTCCTTCTTTTCTGAGGAAGGGATAAATCTTGAGCCTTATGAAGAGATGGGCAAATACTAAAGACACTCTAAAAAGCTATTAAAAAAGAAGCTACGTTTCTTATAATGGATCTTCTATCATCCTGTTAAAAATTTCTGAAAGCTTTGCTGCAATTATATTCTTCTCTAAAAGCTATGAAATGACTGTTAAGAACAGCATATTTTAGTTATATTTGCCTTCACGTTTAAAGATCATGATTGTACTAAAAAGGTATATAAATTGCAGATAAACAGTAGGATAAAAAACCTTTTATTTTATTTTATTATATTCTGATTTGCTGTGTTTTAGTATGCTTTGACTATCTATTTTGACTAATCCCATTTGTTCACAACAAATGGGATCAGTCAGGAGCAGGACGTTATCCAAGCTTTAGAAAATGTTGATGGCTTTAGGTCCATCTTACTTGTATTCATGGTAAAGTAATGATGTAGAAAAATATTTTTCTAACATATCATTAGCACCATAAAATATGAAAGTACTTTAATTGACAAAAATCTATTCAGAGATCCCAGTGTGCCATGTTAAAATTAATTGAATTCACTTAATCATTCACAAAGCTGGTCAGTTAAATGTAGATTTAAAGCCCTATGAACAAATGGTTCTAAGCTTACAATCATGCTACAATTACAAGTAGACAAACCATGAAATCAAGTGCTTGTTCACATTAGTATAGGAAATTAAATGGTGTTCCAAAGTGCTCATGTCTCCATGCTACATTACGTGTTTGAAAGTGTAAGGAGGCCATAAAATGGTAAGTGAAATTCACCCATGGCCAACATTAATTTCAGCTGGGTTGCAGATGGTCAACTTCTTTGCAAATCAGGCCTGTAATATGTGATTGTACAAATACACATAGATTAGAGCATTTTCATGCAGGCTAGGAAGCATATATGTGTGCTTGTGTTTGTTTGGTGCAATAGACTTCCTGATCCAGATCTTTAATGAAACATTATCTTTACTGAATGCACATTTGATCCTTTGGGGTTTTATGAAGCCATTTGTAATTTTTAAATTTCAGTTTTAAGGTCTGTAACTGTTTAATTACTAGAAATTATATAATAAAAGTGTTTTTCCCACTCTGTAGTACCAGTTTTTATGTGATGAAGCTGCAGAAGTCAAAAACATCACTACTACTGCTAGAGTGGATGATGGACACTGGTATGAAGTGCAAATTAGGTAAGTTTTCTATTTTACTGTTTTCTGTGTTTCTAATTGCTTCAAAGGTCTTCTAAGTTGCATAGTTAGTAAATTCCAGTGATAATGTATCTCGTTAACTAGGAGTGATACCTGAACATGTGCTGTAAAATCATGTTATGACAGCGTGGACTACAACACAAACTTGGAAAGAATGTTTAAACCTGCAATACAGCTGGACAATGCCCATCACATCACTGATATGCTTAATAGAAATAAATTTATTCTCACTGCAATCATGTACCATAGCAAATATAAACATTCTGTCAGAGAAGCTACTGTACAGTAGGTCCAGGATAGGCGAAATACATGAATTTCCATTAATAAGAGTGTAACTAACAGAAAAATCTTGGAAAATATATAAGCAGAAGCAGCACCAAGAGTTTGCTGCTGTTGACTTGCAACTCATAAGAGGACATATTAATCCTGCAAAGGTAACAACACATGCAATTGAATGAGCATAAAAAGAAAGGAAGAAATGAGGTAGGTAGTAGGTTTTTGTATTGTGCTTTGCTCAGATGTGGCAGTGAGCAGTCAGTGAGAAGGACCACAGTTTGTTGCTGCATTTCAGCTGTCATCTTTATTTTGTGGTTTTTTTTCTACCATGGTAAACTAGGCTCAAGCTCCAAACCACACAGTAAGTGCAAACTTATACAAGGAACAAAAATCAATAATTCACAGCAGTTGTGCTTATTACCCAAAAAGTAAACAACATAAAACCAAACCTTGCTAATGGAAGCTAAAAGCAAGTGTAAGCTCCTCTCTGACCAAGAAGGAATAGAAGACATCTCTGAGACACTATGAAAGTGTCTAGAATCTTGAACAACATGATTTCTCTGTTTTTGACTCCCTCTCAATATCAAAATGGAGAAAGTGTGATTGGAATTTTATTTAGAGAGGAGATGCAAGGATTATAAAGGCATTAAGCAGCTTCTAAATAATGACTAAACAACCAGGGAACTCTGCAAGTCCATTAAAGACGACTGTGGGAGAATACAAAATTCTCTGAAATCACAAGTGACACAGAAGAAATGTATAAGGGCTGGAGACATAAAATCTTTAGTCTGTTAGCTAGTTTAATCTACTACGATTGTATTGTTACTCCTTTGTTGTTAATTTTAAGGAAGACTTAAGATCCTGGAAAAAAACAAATGAATGAATACCCGAACCCTAAGTACTGTAGGAGCCTTTGAGAAAAACAACCTTTCCCTAGTTGACACTGCTCAGGTAGCACTAGCTACCATGATGTGAGTGCACCTCTTATGCATTTTGCCCCAACTCTACTGAGCAGAAAACAACTTCAATCTGTAAATCACCCTATGGCAATAGCTGGAAAGAAAAATAACCCAACTTCTATTTCTGGTGTTCCATTTGAGCCTAAAAAGGAAGGAAGAAAAAGGTATCTTCTTACATTTGCAGAGAATGGAAATTATTTCAGGACAGCTCAGGTAAGATGAGCCACATTGATTTTTGCTGTTAAAAGAGAAGGAATGCATAATATTTCTGGGATTTGGGCTAATTAGTAAGCAATTATTAATTAATCACTCTACTCACTTTAGTAGACTGGAAATGGTTTTGGACATTGTTTTAGGATGACACTATGCAGACACCACCAAGTTGGGCAGGAGTGTTGATCTGCTTGAGAATAGAAAGGCTTTATAGAGGGATCTGAACAGGCTGAATTGATGGGCTGAGATCAGTTGCATGAGGTTCAACAAGGCTCAGTGCTGGGTCCTGCATTTGGGCCACAACCTCATGCAATGCTATAGGCTTTAGGAAGAGTGGCTGGAAAGCTTCCTGGTGGAAAAGGAGCTGTGGGTGTTGGTCAACAGCTGTCTGAATATGAGCTGTGTGCCCAGGTGGAAAAGAAGGCCAGTGGCATCCTGGCCTATATCAGAAATAGCGTAGCCAGCAGGGCAGGGCAGTGGTCATCCCCCTGTACTGGGCATCAGTGAGGCTGCACCTAGAATCCTGTGATCAGTTTTGGGCCCCTCACTACAAGAAAGACATTGAGGTGCTGGAGCAGTTTCAAAGAAGGGCAACAAAGCTGGTGAAAGGTCTAGAGCTTAAGTCTTTTGGGGGCTGAGGGAACTGGGATTATTCAGCCTGGACAGAAGGAGGCTCAGGAGAGACCTTATCAGTCTCTGCAACTGCCTGAAAGGAGGTTGTAGGGAGGTGGATATTAGTCACTTCTTCCAAGTAACAAGCAATAGGACAAGGGAAAATGGTCTTAAGTTGTGCCAGGAGAGGTTTAGGTTGGATATTAGGGAAAAATTCTTCACTGAAAAGGCTGTCAAGCATTGGAACAGGCTACCCAGGGAAGTAGTTGCTGCCATTCCTGGAAGCATTTGAAAGGCATATATGTGTGGTGCTTACAGTTGGTTTAGTGGTGGATTTAGTAGTGGTTTGGTTTAGGGGTGGATTTGGCAGTGCTGGGTTAATGATTGGACTCAATGATCTTAAAGGTCTTTTCCAGCCTAAATGATTCTATGCTTCTAAGATTTAAAGTCTTAATGGCACAGATGTCAGAATGATTTTGTTAAAGTTGCTTCTTATTTTAATTTAGTGCATCTTCACATGTGCTTGAGTTAATTAAGAAAATGTATATATTTCACGGAAAAGTATAACTACTGCTTTACATATTTTTTCTTTATTAATAAAGATATATTGACAATTATATTTTATAAAGTTGCTCTTGAACTATGTATATTTCTTGGGTTATGACCATTTAATTTAATCAACTGTAGTATAATATGGCATAGTGAAACTTAAAAATTGCTGTAGCTTACTCAACAGCTGTCTACAGCTTTAAAAAGTTTGTTTTATTTTCTCAGAACTGGTTTCCAGTAAGATAAGTTGAACAATGTTATCTGGGATGTTGGTGAAGTCAGAATGGGTATGTAGCAGCTACTAGATATTTTAATATAGTGGGTATGCATAGTGTGAGATTTTCTTTGCAGGTATGAAGTATTATGAACAGACAAGATGGTGATGAAAAAATAATACCATATTGTACTAGTTTGTTGAAAGAAAATGCTCATTCTCTTTGCTTAAAGTATTCCTAATTCTTGGAGTGGTTTTGATCTTTCCCTGCAATGGAGAGATTTTTGTCTTTCAGATTTACTAACAGCAGTGCATTTCAGCAACTGAAGATAAGCCATATGCAAAAAATATTCTGCCTCTACAATATTGTATTAAATGAAAGAAATAGACTTAAAAGTATGAGTGCTGTGTAGTACATGTTTGAATACAGTAAAAATTAGGTAGTGATGATATCTTCCTTTTCTGCTTACAGAGGTATATTTTTCTGCTTCCTTTATCCCACAGAAATTATTCCTGGTGTGAATTAAAGAAATTTCACACCTTTTAATGTTTGCAAATAGATGTGCATATTACTGTCATACACTGCACTGTATCCAGTTCTTATAGTTCACCAGAGTACTCAGGCTGAAAGTAAAATGGCAGCATTGCTGAAGTACAACAATGTGATGATGGATATACTGTGGCTACAACAATTGTAACAATTTAATAAAATTGAATACACTAAAAGGTATGGATTTGGATCAAAATCTGAGATAACTCAATAATTTTGGATAGGATATAACTTTTTGCCTCAGATTAGTTTTCTAGCATTGGCTGCTAAAACCAACATGTTGCCAAGGTTTGTCTCAGAGTAATAGCTAAGAATTCTGGTTTATGTGCAGGCTTGTACGGTTGTTTGCTAAGTCTAGCTATTAATGGAAATCATTGCAGCTGTTTCAGATTTCTGACTGTATTATTTTGGTTTTCTTAAGAATCTTTCCAGGGAAGTGAAACAGCAAAAGTGTAAAACATGTATGGGCAATGTCATCAAGGGATTACATTTCTGCAGGTTATTATGAAGGAAAGGAAATTGTGAAGTTTACATGTTTGGGATGCTCTACCACAATCTTCTCATTCCAGCCCTTATAAAACTGCCTTCTTTAGTTGCTTTAAGATTTATCTTGCTTGATCTTTGTCATCAAAACAAGTTGATAAAATAACACGTATTGCAGAAACATGCCAATCTGTAACAGAGGTATTAGAAATTTATCCTTTTCTTTTATTCATTATGCTTCATTTCAACAATTATTTCAGTACTGCTAATAATATTCTCCTTGATTAAAGAGCAATTTTTATTTTATTTTTCATCTCAGATCACAATTGTTGATTGCTTTAGCAAATTGATTATATATAAATTGATTATGCAGTAAATGTCACAAATGCAACTTGTTTCTTTAAAAATGAGTCTATCCCCTTTGACCTTTTTTAATTGACTGTGAGCATTAGGATTACAAAACTGGTATAGATTCTCCATCAGTCCAGAGAACAGCTGCAAAATGTGACAATTTTCATTTCTAAGGAGTGCATTATTCTTCTCCTTTAACTCCTAATATTTGTGATTTGAGGTTTGCACTAGTTAACTATAGGACGTTTGACGATTGATTGTCTTGGGTTTGTAGATGTTTTCTGATTCCTGTAGTTAGAAAAAGATCCTTCTAATCATGTCATAATGCAACATATGCTCACTCTGGATCTTGTCTATTGCTTGGTTTTGGTCGCTTTTAATGAAGGCTTGAGATAATCCATATGGTAGAAAATATGCTGTATTTATTATCCTTCAGAATATACTACAAAGCTTACATTTTCCTTATGGTTTACAGGCAGGTAAGATAAGCAGATCATAGATTAAAAGATTAGAAAAAAAAATGCAGATACTTTTCTGTTTTGTGCTTTGGGTTTTTTTTATTTATTTATTTTATTTTATTTTAAAATCCTATTTTTATTTAATTGCAAAGGTGCTAAACATTGGCCTTCATTTTTTAATGTAACAACACATAAATGAATAAGTCGTTCATCTGTTGTTTCATGTACTGTGTAAATGCCATGTAGTCTACTTAATAAAAATATGCTTAATGGGCCATCTTCCATAAAAAATTTAAACCACAATATATTAATAGTAA